TGTATTGTTTTCAAGTAAGAATTATAAATGTTGTAAAAAAATATTGTAAAAATAAAAAAATAAAAAAATAAAAAATCGGAAAAAAAAAACAAAAAAACCAATATTTCTTTATTAATTTAATTTGTGCGGTTCTTATTGCTTATCGTATTTTTATCGTTTAAGCTCCGCCCCTGATTAAACGCAGCCCCCAATTAAGCGCCGAACCTAATACCAAAATTATTAATTAGCTCCGCTTTTATCCATACAAAAAAAAGTAATTCGTATTTCTTAAACGTTTGTATTCACTTTGTATTAAATCATTGGTTACACATTCTGCACATGGTAATCATTTTTTGAAATAAGCGCGCCCTCGAACAAACGCCGCCCCGAATTAACACCGCACATGAAACCCAAAAAAAATTAATAAGCGTCACGGCGCTTAAACCACTTAATACAGTCAAGTAAACCACCATTCAGTGGCTGATCTGATTGAGCTTAGGCCTACTATCGTGCGGGAGGACGCGATCTTCGGTTCACGGATTCAATGGTCGGACTAAAACTGAGGGTCTTAAGATGACCGGGGAGAAAGTCCCTCGCCTTCGTAATTCCTTCAGCAAATGGTTAGACATTCATGTGGCTAGGATGATCACTCGGTTCCGTCACTCCATACTTCATCACTCACTAATATCGGAGGGACGTAAAGGTCGATTTAGACGGTACGATTTTCACCTACAACTATTATATACAACACTCTCGCGTCTGTCGTAGGCAAGTTGTAGGCTTGATTTAAACGCTACGACTCGAGTTGTAGGATGGCGCGAGCGTGTTGTATACGATAGTTGTAGGCGAAAATCGTACCGTCTAAACCGGCCTTAAATGGTTGTCATGTGTTTTTAACGAGACCATAACCTTTGTATTTTAGGAAGTTTTCAAGGCTTCTGTAGGATATGATAAACTAGTTGGTTTCTTCAAGAATCTACAAGACCCATCAGACGACTTTGTCTTTGCTCTTATGGRTTGGGTAGGTTATATACTGTATTACTATTGCTTATCAGTCGAAGCGCTTAAAAAAGTCAGTGACGAAATCATTTTTTACCACGAATGTGAATTTTCTCGCTTTCTGATTGGTCAAGAGCCGTGGTAAATAAGAGGACATACCGACAAACTACGTCAACAAATTACGAACCGCTCGCGCACGGAGCAAGGCCGCGCTGGGATGTATCTTCCTCATATCTTTTACTGTATTTTCAGGAGGCTTACTTTACCTAAACAACTTTACTAATCTAAATACCCCCGGGGAGGGGGGGGAGGGGGCACTCTTGCCCGTTTAAGGTAGGGATGTGCCGCTGAGCCCACTGAACCCTGACCCTGTTCCAGAGTAAAATCGCTGAAATTCATACCCTGTTCCAGAGCAAGATCGCTGAAAATCCCTGTTCCCGTATTGCGAAAATGGACACCCTGTTCAGGGTAGAATTGCTAAAAACCATACCCTGTTTGGCGGCACTTACCCGTATAGCGAATATAGGGGAGTACC